AGAATCACTGGGGAGTGATTCAGCATTCCAGAATTCTGTTAGTTGAGCTAACTCTGACTGGCCATCGGAGGGAAACTCTGCTCACACCGCATCTCTTGACGAGCTTTCGACAAGCTAAAAGCTGCCTACAGCTGACACAGCAAAACGCTACCTTCAGCTATCCAGACACAGCTGCTCTAGACGCAAACTAGTTTCAACCTGTGTGCCTGGCGACATCTCTGGACTGGAGCGTCGGTGCTGCGGTTAATCTACTGAACCTCTGTGCCCAGAGGTCATCCGACCTCCCTGACCTCCGGATCCACGAAGAGGGTCTCCAAAGAAAGGGTGAGGTGGACACACATGAATGCGTCTGATGCCGTTTTGATAAGAACCAACTTCATAGTTTAATGAAAACCAAATTCTTTTCACACCCAGAACTCCGTTCTTCTAGATACAAGGTTCTGATAAACACACACCATTCAATCACCATACATCACATCCCATCCACGTAGATTCATCCATCACAGTAGTCTTAGTTAACTTGCCATGTTTTTAATTGTTTAGAAAATAAATTCTTACTTTTTATAAACCTGACTCTGTCTGGATCACATCTTATGGGTCTTAACTAAAGGTAATATATTAAGCTTAAAAGCACAATATTTAACCATACATAGGGTAGTGCCCAGGTGGTGGTGGGGGTTTCCACCCTCCCTCCCAGGGCGGCCTGGATTGGTGTCTTGGCTGCTGCAGTCGATCTGCTGCTGTCAAGGCAGATGGCTCCCTTGACAGCATGTCTTTCATTACCTGTCCAATCTGAGCTCAGCCTAGTCACTAGGCTGAGCTCGACAAACTCCTCGGTGACTGTCAACGTGTCATCAACTCCGTGGATGAAAATCGCCAGTTGAGTAACATCTGTAATGTCCGTACTTTCATCAATAGCAACTGAAAAAGCAAAAAAGGACAACTTTTTCCCTCAATTGGCTGTCCAAATACGCTGAAATATCGGAAATCCTGTCCGCAATTGTGTTTCTGGTCAGGCTGATGTTTGCAAAAGCTTGGCGCTTTTCAGGGCACACAATCTCCGCTGCCCTCATCATGCACGTTTTTACAAATTCCCCCTCACTAAATGGTTTTGAAGCCACTGCAATTTCATTAGCAGTCAGGTAGCTAGCTTTCACTGCAGCACCACTGATATCTCGGCTGTGAGTAAACGCAGACTGCTGTTTATTCAGTCCGGTTAACAGTTCATTCACCTTCTCTCTTCTCTGCTGTCCTTCAAATTTGTCATATTTTTCGGCATGAAGACTTGCATAATGGGGAAGAAGATTATATCCTTTCAGCACTGCAACATGCTGTGAACACACCAAACATACAGCTTTTCCGTTCACTTCCGTGAAAAAATAGGGGGACGTCCATTTTTCTTGGAGCAACCTGCACTCTTGTGTCCACTTTTCTTCTTTCTGACAGAGACATCTTGGGCTGAAGCATAAAATGTAGACGCTGTATTAGATATCGGGGGCAAAACAAAGTAGCTCATCAGAACACCTGTTGCACTTGGTTGACACACTTGCTCTGGCTGAGGATGAATGGCTTGCTTACTTAACACAATGCCTATTGGACCATTTAGTGGACATATTAGGAACAGCAGGTTTTTTTAATAGAAAAATTAGAGTTTATTTTCACTCTACATTGTAAAGTATGAAAATAAAGTTTATACAACCATCTCGCGGGCCGGAGGTAACCTGTTTGCGGGCCGGATCCGGCCCCCGGGCCGTATGTTTGACACCCCTGGCCTAGTGTTTACTGTGGTCTTTTAATGTGTTATGTGGACAAGTGTGTGTGTGTGTGTGTGTGTGTGTGTGTGCCTGGGAATGGTTTGTGGATTGGGGGTAAAACTGTCACAATTGTTTTAAGTGTGGGAAAGGGAGGGAATGTGGGTTATATGGGTCATTTTAATCTGTTAAGCACTTTGTATTGCATCCTATGCAGGAAAAGTGCTATATAAAAATTCTTTGATTTGATTTGAACACACTTTAAGTTATATATATATATAATTTTTTTTTCAGTTTAGACTCATCCAGTGATTTTGGTAAAAAATAAAAATACCAAAGACGTCTCCAAGTTCATTTCCTTATTAAGATAATTTTATTTCTTACTAAAATCAAGATTAGATTTCAGACCCAGATCTCCATGTGGACCTCGGGCCTCCGCGAGCCCCTCCTACTGCTTTAATACTCGAGTATTTCCATAAACACACAGCTGCTATAACTCACATTCTTTATTCTTTTGAACAAATGTAAACATCTTTTACACATTTACATTCTGAATATGATCAATAGGTCAATAAAAATAAAGGTATGTTTATAAAAACAACAGCTCAGGTTTTTCCGCAAGTTAGACTTTTATATTTGACATGCATCACTAGTGAAATTCTTAGCTTTTTTTTTGCTTAAAAATAAGAAAAAATATTTAACTTTAAATGTTAAAGTTGAAAAAAAAATTGTGTTTCCACAGTTCACAGATGGAGGACTAAAATGACTGTCACCGCTGTGTGTGACTGCCAATATGTGGAAAGGCATACTAAAGTGCTCCTTTAATAAATTATTCATGCACTAGCCATAAGGTATATATGCAGATTTGGCTCCACTCTGCCTTCCTTCCCTCCATCAGAGGCGTTCATTTGCAGCGATACAACAAAATGAGCGACGACCCTGAAGCGTGGCGGCTACAGTGGCAGCTGCAGGTTCAGCAGGAGAAGTGAAGCTAAGTCATGTTTGCTTCAAGTTGTCATCAATGTCGCTTTTTTACGAGTATTTGTGTGTGTGTGTGTGTGTGTGTGTGTGTGTGTGTGTGTGTGTGTGTGTGCAGACATAGAGTGTAAGGAACATCCATTAGCTGCTGAGGGTCTCTGAGGCTGAGGCTCATAACTTCCAGCTGTCATGTTGCCAAATTATTTGGAATAACAGAAATCGGACTTTCTGGAAACAGTTTCCGTTAGCGTGACACTGCTGGAGAAAAACTGCTCCAGTTCTGCAACGTTTGATACTTTTACTGGATCCTAAAATACTCAAGATGTCTGCTTTAACAATGTATTCATGTCATTATAATGTTGCACAAGTGAGCTAAGTCCTTCTCTTTCATGGAAAAAAGATGACGATGCAGAGTAACCGGCTAAAGACAGCTGACTGCCACTGATTAAAAGATAAAAGATGATAAAAGCCAAACTGTTTATTACGATGAACTGTAATCATGTAACTTTAGTTTCAGCGTGTCGAATAAAAAGCAGGATATTATTTAAAAATCATATTTTGTAAATAATATTTGTCTTGTTGAAAGTGTTTTTCTTTGTTTTATTTAGAAAGTTATTTATGAAAAACAAAAAAATATATCAGATTAGCTAAATTTAAACTTGTTTTTTTCTTGCAAATCTTATTTAGCTCCTGGGGACCTCATTTTTTCCTTCTAGAGATCTTCCTCCATTTTCTGTTCTCAATAAATGAATAATTACATTGAATTTCTGTTTTGATCACTGTTTATCTGTGATATTATTATAAAACTTGAGCAAAACAATAAAAACAAACAAAAAAAGTTGAGATTTACAACAAACATGAGTTGATACATCATCCTCATCCTCATCATCAACATCAACATCTAACTAATCACCAAAAGGAAGACGGGGCTGAACTTCGTTTATTAGTTTTAATGATTTCTCTCATCTCTTCCAGAGGATTCTTTTGGCTCAGCACCTGAACGACTTTGAAGCTATGCCATCAATCCACCGCTTTTGTGCAAAGAAAAACAATCAACTTCCAGCTTTCCTTTGCATAATTTAATCAGTTTATATAAATAACTAATTTCTGACGGTACTGAAAACCCCTAAACCCAAGTTCTTATAGTAGAAGCTCTTTATTGTGTTTTTTTCTTTCTTTCATTAAAATTCCAATTTCATACACTTCCCTGCTGCTGTTCAAAATAAAGTATCTTCTGAAACATAATATCAGCGGCAAGGCCTCCAGTGAAGGAAAGCAACAACAAACCAAACCCGATAATAGAGGAGCAGGAGGAGAAACAGACCAGGACTGAAGAAAAAAGGAGACATGGGAGTAAATCTGATGAGGAGGGAAACAGATTCACTGGTGTGATGGAGGACACGCTGGCTGAAATCTGACCTCCTGCTCCGCGCTGATGCAGCTTATGAGGCCCTAGTCTCAGGACGAGGTTCGCTGTAGCTCCAGTCTTTAAAAAAGGATCTTGGGATGTGAACTCGAGTAAAACCAGCCTGATCCCGCCCACCCCCTCCGTATTCCTGGTTTTCCTCCCCCCCCTGCTTCATCCACCACTGCTGGATACAAGCCAATCAGCTGGATCCAATTTATGACTAAACAATGTTGAGAGCTTCTCCAGGCCTTTGCAACGAGGGGTTAGCATGCTATGGGGGTATTTGCAGTCCCAGGGAGAGCTGGGGGGGATGGGGCCAGCATTCCTCACAGCCCCCAAAATAGATCACGAAGCAGGAGACCAAGTACGTAGGCTTTAAGTTTAAAGTTCTGCTCTGGTCTCTCTGTAACCAGGATCGTAGTTTAATAAAAATAAAAAAAAAGCAGGAAGCACAACTCAGTGATGCTTGTGTCTGAGAATAAAAACTCACCACAGCTAAAAATCAACACCAAGTTAACACAACTGCTTTATTTTCCCAAGTAGGCTCAATGGTGATCAGAGTGTGTCACGTCTAAAACGGTCCAGGTGGAAACATGCTCTCTCCTCTCATAAGTCCGTACGAAATGATGATTCTACGATCTACCTGCTTTGTGAAATTGTCCTTCAAGATGTCAGGAAGTTATCATTTAGCCCGCTCCTATGATAAACAAGTACTTTTATTTTTGTGATGTTACCATAAAATGATTAGGTTTCTAAACATCATAACCTCTTTTCTTGGTGTGAGGGTAAAAAGGTTAAAAGCACAAGTGAGACACAACTCACAAGTCCAGATGATGGTTCACGCCCCACTACTGGTTACTTACTTCTTACAGTCGCTGTAATCTGAGCAGCGGCTGAGCGGCACGCGGATTACACAACCAGAGAACGCCACAAACACCGCGTGACGATCTCGGTCCAGCTCAAGACCCAGAACCCTCCTGTCCTCCCCCCGAACGTTGCACCTAGAAACACACACACACACACACACACACACGCGCCCACACTCTTTATTACAGTGGAATTCTGACGTGAATCAAAGTTTTTAGGCTGCACAAAAAAGTCGACATAAAAGAAATATCTCCTCCAGCGGTACAAGATGATGCAAAGTGTTACAAAAGACTAAAGACTGAGTGGGCAGGACAGATCAGGGAGGGACACGGAGGAGGAGGAGGAGGAAAGAGAGAGGAAGAACACAGAGAAACTAAGTAAAGGAGAAGAAGGGAGCATGTTCAAAAGGGAGCAAATGGTGACAACAGAGACACACTAGGACACAAGATAAAGTCTTCTTACTTGTCTGGGTTGTAGATGTCCATGTCCTCCAGGAGCTGGGTGTTGAGGGATGAGTTGGCTCCTTCTGTGCTGGCCAGAATCTTCAGGAGGTGACCATTGTCTGAGCCCAGGAACACCACGGTGTAGTTCTTATACGGCCCTGCCGACGTATCCACGGCAATCTGGGTCAACTTGAACCTAAACCAGAAGAACAACTGTTATAAAGGCAGCAGATGAAACAGCTGCTGTAATCAAATCCTCGTAGTTTACCGGTAAACTGCACAAAGGGTGGGTGACTACTGAGCTCATTGTGTAAAGCGTTGGTGAGCAATCAGTCAATTCACTGAACTACCCACCATTCCCTTCTTTCATCGCCTGCATCCTTTAATCCCTTCATCCTATTAATGCACCCATCCATCCACCCACAACCAGCCGATCGATCTATCGGGCACGTTCCTCAGCACGTCTAGTCCTGAGTTAGTTTCTTTCTGTGCCGCGTTGTTCAGTATTCATGATGAAGAGTAGCGACGGCTGCTTCATATTCACCCCGCTCTCCTTAGGCTCCACCTGGGAGCTGCCCAGTATCACCACAGCCGTCTACAGCTGGCTCCTGCGGAGGATTGGCAGCTTTGCTGAAAGGCACCTTGAGTCCACAGCTTGTTGAGGGACGGATGAACTCTCCCCACTCACTTTCTCTGACTGCACTTTCCTCTTCTGGTCAAGGATTTAAAGTCTCTCCCTCCAAAAATACTCTGGCATCATTTTATTTTTCCATCCTTCTGAGGGAGGACACCCTTCTCCTTCTGTCCCTCCCAGATGGTCCGACGCAGGCTGGTGTGTTTACCCACATAGACTTGCCTGGCACATCCCTGCAAGGACTCGGCAGAGCGGCGTGGCGTGCACTTGGTTTGATTTCATTTATCTAGTGGCTCTGTGGGGAACGGCGCGGCAGATGTGATATTTTTGGCGCCAGATGTGAGGCGGTACACGTTTCCTGGGTGTGGAGACACCATGGTGTCGGACTGGCTGTCAGCCTGGCTCTGCTTCAGGAAACACGGTGGCAGCTCCTGTGTGCTACCTTTGTGTGTGTGTGTGTGTGTGTGTGTGTGTGTGTGTGTGTATCACTGATGTAAATCAACTGCATGTCCAAATATGTCTGAGGCTTTTTGTTGTATATGAAACCCGTTGACATTTTCAACAATTAGGATACCAAGGAATTCTCAGATGTCACATCAGACACACCTCTCCAGTGCGTGCCCCGCTTTGAGGCATCTGCAGGTCAGACACTCGAGGAGGACTCTCTCCGGCGCTCCTTGGCTTTGATGTGGACCGGCATCGACCGGTGAATAAATCCGATGGGTTTTAATGAGGTACAAGGTTGAGTGTTCCACCTGAACTCACTCATCTATTCCAATCACAGACTGGAGGCTAAAACACCGTTGGTGCTGCACCTTATGCTGCCACAGGAAACAAATGCATACAACCAATTAAAGAAGCGACTCTGGGATTTTCCCCTGCAGCCTCCATTCCTAACTGCAACGTTCCAGTTAATGGTTTTGTTTTTAATTTGACTTGGTGAAAATGTTCAGCTAGAACAGAGAACGTGGCTATGATATTTTTTATGTATACAAGTAAAAAAAGTGTTTAGTAAAGTAATAGTTTGATGCAAGATCCTGTTTTATGAGGAATTGCGTGAATAAATAAAAATAAATAAATAAAAATATGTAAATAACTTGAGCTTGCAGGTTTTCCCCTTTTGAATCATTTCAAACAATCATATCCAGCAAAAAGAAATCTCCACAATAATCAAGCAAAGACATTTCATTCTCTTTTGTGCAAGTTAAAAGTACATAAACTGAATTTTACTTTTATCAAAGATTGACACCTTTGTTGGAAATAATATCATAGTCTTAACGGCAGATTTGTGGAGTTCTAGAATGTTGACTAGATAAAAGAAAACAGGGCATGCCACCTTATGTATGTAAATATCAAGTCTTGCCACGATCCATAGTCAGAGCTATGTGTGGCTGTCTTTCAAAATGTCTTCGCACAACATGACATACTCATCACTAAGGAAATCAGTTGATGGGGCAGTTCACCATATGAAGAAGATGATAAAGAAGAAGTAGAAGAACTAGAAGTAGAAGTAGAAGTAGTAGAAGAAGAAACAGAAGAAGTCGAGGAAGCGGAAGAAGAACAACACGAAGTAGAAGAAGAAGTAGAAGTAGTAGAGGAAGAGAAAGACATAGAAGAAGAGAAAGAAGAAGAAGTAGAAGTAGAAGAAGAGGAACCTCTATCTGCTCATCACAAAGAAGACTAAATCATCCAAAGTTGCTGCCAAGGCCGTTTCAAACGAGTGCCGTTCCTGAGTCCCTGAAAGCAGCTGGTGCTGACATTAGGTGGTAACCACCCCATCTACCTGCTGGTGGTGCGGGTGAAGAACGGTCTGTCGTTGACTGAGGGAACCGACTCGTCCATAAGGGGGTATGACTTGATGAAAGCCAGTGTCTCGTCGGGGAAGGTGGTGGATGACTTGTAGGTGGTGGCGGATGCCTCACCGGCACAGCTGCCGGGTCTGAACAACAACAGTAAAGAAGGAACATAAACATCAGGCATAAATCCGGTTCAACAGGCACAGATGTAAAAACACTTGCAGCCATTTGTTTTAGGGGACCAACAGGCGGATAAACAGGTGTCTTATGTGAGTGCTTGTTTTCTTTTTTCTGCTTATTTGTTTTTTTTTTCTTCCTGGAGATGTCTGTGCAGAATAATAACAGCAGCTGCACAAACTCCGTTGGTGCTGGAAAGTGTCAGTTTGCTGTTTAAAGATGCATCTCTTACCTCGGCTTGGGGACCAGCTCCTCTGGAACAGGTGTCCATGCCGACTCGCTGTTCCTCTGCTCTTTGAATTTCCCGTTGAAGGCCCGTTCTATGTCGTCCATGTAGAAAGCACACACTGCTGAGCCAGTGATGCTGCGCAGGGGCCACAGAGGAAGAACAAGCATGTTAAGAGTCAGAAGTGTCAAATTCTCTCTGCCAACAACAACTTCTGTTCGTGTAAATTCAGTATACTGACTTGGTCTCTACATTTATCTGTATTTAGATGTTTCCATTTGTTGATTCAAACTTTAAACTAAACCTCCAGGATGTAACTGTTCATGTAAAGTACTTTTCTTTTTAACAGTGCGATGTAGCATACGTTATTTTAGCGTTTCTGGGTTAAATGCTAATGAGAAACTGTTGGGTGAAATCTAAGGTGTTTTTTTGTCATCACACTAATATATAAATATAAATATAACCTATTAGATGAATTTTCACTTACATCAGTCACTGGAACCCCTTCTCATTTGAGTCAAAATAAATGTGCTATCACAAACTTATCCATCATCATGATTAATCAGATTACATTTTTAACTAATTAACCCACCTGCTGCACAGAATGACAAACTCTCTGTAATGCCTGTTTTCACATTTTGGACCATTTGTCCAAGTCGAATTACCATCACACGTGAGCAAATGGGAACTGATCCGGTAGCAACAGGCCGCAGAACCAATCAACTCAATATGGAAGGTGCTAACAGATGCTAAACAGACATACTGGCCCTCTTGATGGGAAATTTCAAGATGCTCAATAAACATGTTCAGTGCATATGTATTCCATTTTTCTTGAGTCTTTTTGCTCATGTAAAATGACATGATTGATTAAAATAGGTTAAAACTGAACGATATTTAATCGTGATTAATCAAAAATAATCCACAATAACCCCGTGATTAATCTGATTACAATGTTTAATTGGTTGACAGCCTTACGAATAAGTGATAAGTCTGAGAAGACTTTGCGAAGAGTTGCTGACCTCTAAAGCTAACAAGCTTTGTTGGACCATTATTAATACTAGCGTCTTTTTCAGCTCTACATCAGTGTTTAAGTCATCTGACAGGTAGGTGCTTCCTAGGACCACTTTATCTCTTTTCACTTTATTAAATATAAAGAAGCAGCTCATTGGCCACCGTCCTATGCAGATTCTTATAAACCTGAACTGTGAACAGTTGGTAGCAACACACCTCTGCATTTACCCACTTTACCTGCCAGTCTGACTGTTCTGTGTTGCTCACAAATGTCTTTTGATTACTGTAGTCAGCCTTGCTCTAATTTGTTCCTATAGATAGCTGCTCAAACGTGGTAACCATAGTAACACAAAACCATCCTTATCACCAGAAAAGCAGGAGTTGGTGACCTGGGAATTACCTTCAAACGGACTATTAAAGATTATATTCATAACACTGAAGTAAATAAAGAATCCCGACCTGTTGGACTGTGTGGTGAAGACTCCAATGACAGCCGGCCGGTGGTTTATCTGCAGCACGTTGGTCAGCGACTGAAGAACATCAAAGTAAAAGAAAGAATCTCCGGGCACTGAGCAGTTCAGACGGGCCTTGAGGAAAGATGTCCAGTACCGCTCTAGAACCCTCGGGGAACCTCCGTTGTCATTTTTACAAACACGTGCAACTCTGGAGAAAACCACCTGGAGAATGGAAGTGAAGCGCCAGAGCAACCAGTTTATGTGATCCGCAGAACGAGCCAGGCAGTTACTGGGAATTACTTTTGTCTAGAAAGAAAACGACAGATCTTCTCACCTTGCCTAGAGTTGTGTATTCAACAGCAATCTCACTGAAGAAAAAATACACGTAGTTCCCATACTCGATGGCATGAAGGAAATGAGGTTCTTAGGATGGAGAGAAAAACAGATTTGGTTATAAATCGGGTTTGTGTAGCTGAGAGAAACACAGAGGCTACAGTAGAAACATCACAATAACATTTAAATAAAATCACTAATATGATGTACAGTATCAGAAATAAGGATCAATAATCCCTCAAAATAATCAGCTCAAATAGGAAAGAGGCAATTATTTCATCAGATTTATGCCATTTTCTTCCTTCTAAAGTTTAATTTAGGACATTTGTAGTAGGATATGAATATTTGTTAAAGTTTTCAGATCATTATGTTTCAGGTGGTAAAAATCAGACATCCAAAGTTCAACCAGTTGTGTTGAAAATGTTCAGAAATGGTTAAAATGGTTTTAATTGAATTTTAAAGGAGACCCGGACCAGGGTGCAGGTCTGTTTTTATTAAACAGTTGGTTTGACTTGATCAGTGAGAAACAGACTCGGCTTTCAGCAGAGCATTCCTCACATACGGAACATTCCTGTCTGCACGCACAGTTTCCACAGAAACCCCTTCCTCAGAACTCCTAATATGACTAAAATGTTACGCAAATGCAACAGGAACTCGTACGACATCAGCAGATCATTTCATTGGTGATATTAATGATTACAAAAAATTCCAAATCCGAAAAAAACTCTCCAGCTGGCTCCTCCAAACACATCACCCGAGTCCTACGACAACAAAAAAGTGCACACCGAGAAAAGGAAGTGATGTCATTAATTCATTTAAGGAGAATCTGTAATCTAGGTCATTCCTTTATAGTTACTGACTCTACTTGGCAGATCCCAGACAAGTTAATGGAGCCAATATTTTAAAGTAATCGAACACAGATCAACAGGAAGTGCTAGAAAACAAAAACAAGCCTGTAATGTATATGTTTTAGAGTCAGATACAGTAAGAAATGGTTCCTAGAAGCTCATATGAACACACAATCCACCAGCAGAGCCCTAAAACTAGACGTCACCACCAAACTGGGACTTTTACCTCGTAGCCATTTGGAGTCATACTTGACCGTACGTAAAACAGGACTGCTTTCACCCAGGCTTCTGTAAATCACTGCATCACTCGCCAAGAAGTCGGTCATGGTTGCAGAGTAAAAGTCACCACCTGAAAACAGAAGTAATAAGTAGTAACTCGTTCACTGTCAATCATCAATGCTAATCTGTGATTTTTAAATGTCTGCATTGGTCACTGATGACTTTGTGGCATTTAGGAGGAGGATGAGGAAAGCAGATGTAGGAGAAGGAATCAGTTTAATATCAGCCTGGATGAACTTTGTTTAAATGTCAGTGGAAACCTGGCAGGATGGAGCGCTGCTTGGCTCTCTCCTCTCTTCCCTGAATTTGACCTCAGCTTGTTCACAGCTTATGTTTCTGCTACTACTAGCAAAAAAACTGTAAATCCCTGTCAGGGATTTCAGACGATCCTGCTGGAAGCCAGAATCAAAAAGAGGGAGCTTTGAATGAGGAAAAATGTATAGAAACCGAATTACATTCAGTTGTTTGGATTTAGCTCGAGTCGAGCACTCGCGGATGTGGAGTGGTCCACAAGGAAACATCCTGTTTATCTTTTCTTCGTGTTCATGAAAGATTTCAGAAAGTACAGGGTTGCCAACTTTTGAACATTTCAAAGAGTGAGACGGGGTCATGGGGTTGGGAGTGGACAATTCGCCAACTGTTTAAAGCGGGGGGGGGTTGGTTAATATGATAAATGACCCGCACATGTATAGCGCCTCTCAGAGAAAGGACTCCAAAGCGCTTTACACTACAGTGTATCATTCATCCATTCACACACACATTCATACACTGATGGTGATGAGCTACAATGTAGCCACAGCTGCCCTGGGGCGCACTGACAGAGGCAAGGCTGCCGAGCACAGGCGCCACCGGTCCCTCCGACCACCACCAGCAGGCAAGGTGGGTTAAGTGTCTTGCCCAAGGACACAACAGCAGAATTCTCTGTCCGGAGCCGGGATCGAACCTGAAACCTTCCGATTACTGGACAACCCGCTCAACCTGTTCAGCTACTGCTGCCCCATATTGAGACTTTGTGTGCTCTACATTTTATTTATTATTTATTTCTACTCTGCATGGAAGAGGATTAGAGCCTCTGTCAAGAAAAAAAAAAGAAAAAGATAATTCTTACATTTTTCTCAGAATTCTGACTTTTAATCTCAGAATTCTGACAGGGAATTCAAGGAAAAAAGTCAGAATTCTCTTTTTTTTTCTTTTCAGCGGCCCTAATCCTTTTCCGTACCTCTGACTTTACAGAGGGAACTGACCTTTGTTTAATATAAATGTTCTTTTCGTGAGGACAATTTAACATCCAACTCTCCTGAACTTCTTCACATTATCCATCCATCCATCCATCTGCAGTAAAGAGTTACAGCTACATGTCACAAATGTCACACAGGAACTTTTAATTATAATTAATGTAATTTTTAAAAAATCCATCTATGGGTGGGCAATATCATGTCATTCATAATATTACCAGTTATTATTTCCTTCCAAGAAAAAACATCTATCATGTTAAGCTAACTTCATGATGTAATTGCATCCACTAAACAGAGGATTATGTTCATGTGGGTCATCAGCATGACGTTATTGAAGATATGAAAGCAAACATGGCTGGAATCAGTTTTACCTGAAATCTGTTTCTCCAAGTGTGTGTGCTGCTGTAATGAGTGGATTTCCCCACTGCGGGACTAATAAAATTTACTATATTCTTTATTATTGTAATTCATATCAGCCAGTAGGGGAAAAAAATGTTTGAGGAGTTTTGGCCTTTCCAGGCTTCCGTACCAGTAACCTGGTTATGGAGGAGGGGTTCGTCTCACGAACAGGAAAAATGCACTGGTGAAGCAGTGAATTAAAATACTAGGATTCCTAATGTTTTAATTCACTGCGTCACCAACTAATGTAGGAGAGGGAACACGTGAGTGAGTCACCACGGTAGGAAGCCCAGCTTGCTGTGAGCAAGAGTAGCGATCTGTGGCTGATGAGTGAAAACAAAAGAAAAACATTCGGGACTGAAGCTCCGTCAACATCGGCTGGCGACCGCGACGCGGCTGCATTTCTAAATAAAGCATGTCATTTTGGCGGCGCGCGCAGCTGCAGCTCATGGTTCTAGGAGAAAGAACCGGGCTTGCCCGTCCCTTCAACAGCAGGTGGAGCTCACTGCTCCGCCCATCTCACAACCAGAGCGGAAATAACCCATCGGCTTGGATTATACAGATGGGATTATGTGTGAAACAACGCCAGTTAAATTATTACTTATGTGTTGTTTGTGTGCATGCTGTTCAGAAGCTAATGCTATAATTAATATCATGGGTTTATTTTTTTTCGTAAGCCCTATGCACTGTGTGATGTGCGTTTGGGGAGCGCAGGCGCTGGTTTAGCGTGAGAGATTGGAGGTGTGGCTTTGATATGTGGGAGGGGCTTGGAATTGAGCCACTGCATCTCCAGGAGCAGCTTTCTCTTACATGTGAGAGGTTGTACTCTACTTTGGCCATTTGTGACATCACAAACGGTGACTTCTTGAAATTGCTTGTTTTAGGCACAATTTCTAAAGTCAAACACTGAGAGGACTGTTTATTGAGACCCACTTGACAGCACAAAAATACGTGTTATTTGCATTATGTGATCAAAAAAATTAAAATAAACCAGCATCTGTGTTTCTTTGGTTTAATTGTAAAGTACTGCCTTGGGAATCTCACCTGCAAAAAGACCAACGTTGGACTGCCGGGATTCGAAGGGACACCGAGCCTGTCCCACCACCTCCTCCCCTTCCTGCTCCAACGTCGACATCTTGGTCAGAAAGAAAGTGACACAAAAGAGGGTTTTACGAGGCCATCTACAAAGCCGTGAGGCAAACCAAGCAGAGCACCAGGAAATAAAAACTGACATTTGTAAAGAATGGGGTTTTTCTGCACTCATGGGAAATATCACTCAGCCTCTGAGACCAAATGTCCTGCAGCTGGATGTAAAGAACCAAAACCAAATCAATCAGCGATAATGAAAGGCAGCACATGCACTATAAAGATAACTTTTATTTGATGCCTTCTAGGAGGGTCATTTCTGTAAAAGCGGTGTGTGACTGTGCTGCTGCTCAGGTAGACGGGGCCGTTTATCTCTCAGTCACAGATATTAAGCTGCTATTTTCCAACCTGCTGTTAACAAGGTTGTAAACCTCAGGCATGAGAGTGTGTCAAGCCCACAGTGTGTATCCATATGTGCACAATTGTGTGTGCAGCTTCAGTGCCCTGTGTAACAATAAGGTAACGTAAACACGCACTAATAGTTCATTAACACGCTGCAATGTTTGACATGTTGGTGTAATTACCGCTCTATTGTTATTCTGTCATCAATTAAATTACTTTTACTTCAATTAAGACTGCACGTGTGTGTGTGTGTGTGTGTGTTCTTAGCAGGGCTCGTTAAAGCATCAGTCCAGAGTTTTATTCTTTTCAGGAATGATCACTTTTTGTTACAGCTGTTGCTGTTTGCCTCAGAAATCGGACGCTCAGTGCTTTGCCTCCTCCTCCTACCTGCACAGCTGCACTCACTTGGGCTGATCACCTCATGAGCAGCATAAAAGGGTGAGCTGCCAGGAGCAAGGGAGAGACTGGATCTGTGCCAGTTGTCTCATGTGCTCCATTTGTTGGCATTTTAACGGCTTTTAAATGGGCGTTAGTTGTTTAAGCTTGGTGAAGATTAACAACTTTTAGAGGTTTTTAACAGACGAGGGACCAGAGTGCAGGTTTCCTCTTGGCTCCCAAACTTGTGTTTAAGTCAGTGGACTTTGTTTTGTGAATGTTTGGGAGCATTCGGATGTCTGTTTTAAACAAACCCTTGGCCATTTTAACAATGTGTTTTAAGTACTTTTAGATTTGGAGATTTTTGTCATTTTAAAATCCTTTCATTAAAATCAATGTTTACAATTTCCACACCTGAAACACATGCCTCTGTGTTACTCCCCGTCCTCCTTATCCATCAATAGAGGATGCAACACTCTTCAGAAATCTATAAAAGTGATAGAAGGATATATTTGCATCTTCTCCGACGGTGTATGGTGGACTATCCCATTGACTAACATCCATGTAGATTCCGCCCCATGACTGTGGTCTGTCTATGGTCATGGCCAGACTAAATATGGTCACATATAGATAGGATGGCCAGGCTAGCGATGTAATGAAATGGTAAAAACGGTAAATGACCTGTATTTGATATAGCATCTTCTACAGTCCTGGAACCCCCCAAGGCGCTTTACAACACAGTCCTTCATCCATCCACACACACATTCACACGCTGGTGGTGATGAGCTACATTGTAGCCACAGCTGCCCTGGGGCACACTGAAAGAGGCGAGGCTGCTGAGCACAGGCACCACCGGTCCCTCCGACCACCACCAGCAGGCAACGTGGGTTAAGTGTCTTGACCAAGGACACAACGACAGCGTCAGACTGAGCGGGGCTCGAACCTGCAACCTTCCGGTTACGGGGCGAGCACTTAACTCCTGTGTCACCCCTGAAGGCAAGGAGTATTTTTTTTTTGTTAGGCCTGCCTGCGTCCCTTAGATGCCAATGGAATCTGAATTAGCGCCATTCAGCATTAGCTACATTGTTAGCTTGTACAGATGTCAATCACAAAATATGCGTGCAGTAATGAAAGTACCCTGACAGATGCAGAGATAAGTAAGTCGGCTAGAGGTGTGCTTTTATAAATGAGAGGCGGTGCGTCTGGTTGTAATCATGGAAGAAAGTAAAGTGGTGCAGTACATTTTTTTGCCTCTAGATGGTTACACAAACCTAAAATGTGAAATAATCCTGAGTTTTTACTGTTCTGTCTGACAGCAGAACAAACCTTTGCATCTCACTTTTGTTTAGTAGATTATAAAATACCAAAAAGCAGCAGTTATTCACCAATAAGGAGCTTCAACACATGCCCTTTGATCTCTTTGCAGTCAATTAACAAAAGGACATGAAAAAGGAAAAGTTTGACTGTTATTGTTCGTTATTTCCAAACATCCATCCATCCATTTTCAGCTGCTTACCCGGGGTTGGGTTGCAGAGGTAGCAGCCTAAGCAGAGAGGCCCAGACTTCCTTCTCCACAGCTGATTGGGCCAGCTCCTCCAGGGCAATCCCAAGGCGACATGTATTTTTCTGTCTTTAATCTTAGTTCTTGTGTCATCGTTTGTGCCAAATTAAACTAAATGACCCCAACAACTAACTGCATGTGTGGAAACACAACCAATAAATCCAACCAAAGATCGTCCCACTATTTCTATGTGAAACTACCAATTCCAACTAGTTTGCATGCTTTTGTAATTCTCAAACATGATGCATACTGCTCAGCTTTATTGTGTTTTGCTCCGGTGATGCAACAAAAGCAAACTCCTGAGCACATTTGTTGAGTTTAACACAAAAACTTGATGATTTAAATGAGTTGCATGGATTTTTCAGGCTTTTAAAGTGTTCAGGATGTACCTGATAAATCATTAACTCTCCTTGCACACCACTATACCCAGTGCTGTTGCACTTTAGCTCCATAACACGAATTTTAAGCTACTTTTATGCTAAATGTTGCTTTACATGCTTTAAACATGTATTCCTTTTCCATCACAGAAAACCAGTGAGACCTCATCGTTAACTTTTGTTATTAAGCTAATTAGTTATTCCTGCGCTGTTATTCTCAGGATAATTGATTTCTGCTAAGCTCGTTAAAACTGTGGATAATATACTTCAGTATTAGTCAAAACTTTCAAGAAAGTGAGCAAAATATTGTGAAGCACAAAAGAAACAAGCACCGCTTGAACCAGTTCAGGCTGTCACCAGTATTAGTAATTATCTACTTTTCTCAATTTTTTACCTGAATAGAAATAAAATAGTTTCTACTGGTTTCTCACCAGAGCAGTGTACGATAAATCTGCAGCTTTTTCAATGCCCGCTGGGTCATTATCCACAGCCCGGACAAAGACAGATGGATTCAGAGCTGTAAGGTTCAGTTTTATCATGAACGCATGCTGACAGCAGCCGTTTCTCTGTCTCCAGACCAGCTGCATCTCCATGTCGAGACATCCGCACACATGCCTCAGACAGATTCCTTGATATGATTTATTATTTATCTCCACTTCCCCAGCTGTTGGAATAGTCACCTCTTGTTCTCTTTTCTAGACGAGGGCTTGTTTTGGTAAAACTGTAAATCAGCCGCTCTATTACAGCGAGTCTGTGGCAGGAAGATGATAACGTCTGAATGTAGGTCGGAACGCAGCACTTTAAGCATTTTACATCAGCTACTCTGGCGGACTTCTGGCACATCTGAGGCACAGCTTGATCCTGGCGCACATTCAGGTAACGTCAGGCTGCGGAGACGCTCTGCTTACTTAAGAATTCCCCAAAGTAGATGCGGAAACTCGTCAAAACTATCAAATGTTGACTTTTAGATCTCTTATCTAGGAACAAATAGTTATAAAGTGGGATAGGTACTCGTTCAAACTCTCTTTGCTGTGTTTAAACACTGAAACGCAAAATTTCCAAAAGCTTTCTAAGATGTTCACTCAAGTCCAAGGCTCTATAGGGATTCATACCTTTCGTTTTATGGAAATTCTATTAAATATTCATGTAAATATCTAGGACACCATCCCTGGAAAAACCTTCAAAAACCAACTCATTTTCACTTTAAATGCCTTTAAAGACTTGATGTTAACATCCCATTAGTCATCACAAACTGGTGAAATGACATATCCGCATTTGACTCATCCCTCCCTGGAGCGGAGAGCTGCAGCTGTGGCCACGCTCGGGAACCATTTGGTGGTTTAACCCCCCAGTCCAACCCCTTAAAGAGCAAATTGCAGGTTAGAGACTCCCATGAACCACTGATTAGAGAAACATAATAGAAACTCATTTGAAACATTTTTTTTACAAATACATAAATTATTTAGGCTTTTAGAGTCATTTTTGTGAGAAAGTATCTTTTTTTTTTGTTGCCAAACCAAGTGACGTCAGCTGAGGGAGTCCTGTTAGCTTAATCCAGAGAAAAATATGGATTCTAATGCGGCTCTGACACAGAGGAAACTTTAAATGTTTATAATTCTGCTTCTGATGGACCAAAACCATAAAGTTATGAGTTTGCTGCATGCCCCAGAGAGCAGAGACCAACCAGAGAGAGAAACCATCGGCCAAAGCAGAGAGATGAAGGCGAGGCAGCGGGGGAGCAGCAGGTGAGTTAACGATGTTAGCTTAAACTTGTGTGCTAACATCACAATATTGTACAGATTACTATTGTGTACCAGACAATTAAAATAGTATTGGTCAGTTAATATAATATTAATGAGCATCTGTCAGCTGTCTCATACTCGTTAATATCCATTCACGTAACATAGTTTAGCGCTTGGAGAGAGGGAGAGAGACGCCTGTCATCCGGTTCTGGAGCTCATGCGGGCTTCTGTGAGCTGGATCCGACCCAGACACCAGCGAGCCAGTTGTAATAAAAAGTGCAAAGTGTGTGTAACTCTTCTCCTTTTTTCAGAACAACCTCAGCTTTCAGTGTATGGCTTGTATTTAGAATTAATTTCTGTTAAAGCCTTTAAAAAATCAGCTTAAAAGTGAAAAAAGCAAAACACGGATTAGAATTTTTTACATGTATTACTGAACAGGAACTTCAAAATTACTGGGCAAACAAGTTGAATTGAACAATTTAAACTTTGAACTGTAATGCATCTATTCTTAAAAAAGTGTGAACCTTGGTATCTTTTTTAGCAGTTTTTAAGACCATTTATTTTTGTAAACTTTCAGACGTTTTTATCTGATGTGGTAGGCCTTGAAGCAGTTTCTCTCCATCTGCAGGCAGAGTCCTACTCTGTGCACCTCACTCTGCCATGGGGTGCTTCTCTTGCACACCGTGCACTGCTATACCAAAAACTTTTGTTTTAGCAAAAATAATTATTTACTGTAAAAAGATAAATAATGCTGGAATGAAGCTGAATCTTACAATTAGCAAATAGTTGAGGGTTGTTCAAATAAAAAAATAAAAAATAAAGACTGAACAAACATTCATACCCCAGTTCACTGGAGATCTGTTCTTCTTCGTGGTCACTGTCTTCAGATATAAGCGTTCTGGGACACCTAATAGATTGTGTTGATTTTTTTTGAGGCATTTCTATAATTTCATGCTGGCTTTTTATGCTAATTAGCTTACCCGTTCCATTATCCGCTTTCACTGCGGCGCTGCGCTCCGTTTCAATCAGGCTGTACAGCAGGATTTCCCCTCGTCACAATATTTTCCATAACTCTGATTGCTTCATGCTATAGATCTTTGGAAAGCTGCTTTTATGTACTTTAACTCATTCACTGCCATTGACGACTAAAGTCGTCATTTTAGATCCAACCGTTCACTGCCAATGACAACTAAAGTCGTCATTTGCATTTTTTTTTACAGTTTGAGCATCAGAACGAGCCCCCACACTGAGAGAACAAACATCTCAGCCCTGAAGCTGATCTTCATCCGCATACGTCACATGATCAGGAAGCAGACCATCCATGTGTTAGGAGATCGTTTTGGGCCGTTCCTGTAAAAAAAGTGATGCACGAACCGGAAAAGCGTCTGCCGATCACAATTCAACAACGGATTATGAAAGAACGGATAACGCTCGAAACACACAGATTCTTCCTGATGTAAGAGGTGAGTCTCCGCTTTGTTTTGGTTGTTTTGGTATCTACATAATCCTAGCGCGCAACGTTCTGTGACTCTTAAAAAAACAGTAAAAAGGTGAGAAACACTGGCAACGAAGGCCGTTAGCGATCAGAAAACGGCTGGCAGTGAATGAGTTAAGGAACCTTTGGAAGTTTTTCAATCTGATCAGCCATTCAAAAGTTATGAAACGGATCATTTTGGATGACAAACTCAGCACGTCTCTGAATCTGTTTTGTGATTAGTTGCGCTCAAGACAGGGAATCCTGGGGGCTACCGTAATGTATTGTATATGCTCGAAAAGCCCCATTTTTAATCTTTTCTGCACTTCTGGAATTTGAATGATATCTTGAACGGTTCAGGAATTATGGCAATGAGAAGTGCGCATGTCCAATCCCGTCGGCGGCGACAGGTTGGTAATAAGAATATTGTGGCATTAACAGAGGAGTGCCGGCGGCCAGGGCTAGGGGTCCCCCAACACAAGGGGGACCCAGGTGGCCGCCGACCTATGCCTAATGGTAAAACCGCCACTGGCAGCGCCTAGCTTCTAACTCCATTTGGTTACGTCAGAGGTTCAGATTTAGAAAAAAGTGGCTTTTTAAAAGCTTTGCTGATAAAACACCACTAGGAACACTCTGTTGTTATGCATTTTAAAATGAAATATCCAAAATAAACATTTCAAATTGTATTTTTGGACAGCATTTTTATATGAATTAGAAAAATAAGTTTACCTGCAATTTGCTCTTTAAAGCTGAGTGTCAAGCAGGGAGGCACAGGGTTCCATTTTTAAAGTCTTTGGTATGACCCAATCAGGATTTGAACCCTAATCTCCCAGTCCCAAGTGTACACTCTACCACCAGGCCTCTGTGAAGGTAATTGTTAATTATTCCAAAAAGTTACTTTTTCGTTTGCTTCTCTTTCCTTCATTAAATGAATCCTTTTCATTTGTTTATAGGACAAATCTTGTCTTGAAGTTTTAAGTCTTAAACCAATTATTTTGCTTTTAAACAGATAATCATGCCCTAAATGAAGGGATATGTGTGAGGTGTATAAAACTCCATTAAGATGTGGTTTCTGATTCCATCACAAACCCACTCAGAACCCATTTTTAACTAAAACAAGATGACTTTTGCTGCTTTTAGCTGGATTTGTGCTGACACAATATGCCCCTTTATTTTAGCAGCTTTTTTAAAAAGTCAAAATGAATTCAACAATTAAACATTTGTCTGAAATTGGTTCGATATGGAATGGAAAGATAATCTTTAACAGCCAAAGCCCAAACAGAAAGTCTGGATCCTTAGAAGTTAAGCAACAAAAAATGAGGGTGATGCCACATTTGGCCTTTAGGCTCTCCTGAATATAAACACATCCATTATTTAAATATTTAATCTTTTACATTGATATGCAAATTATAAAATAATATTTTATTCACTGAAGAGGTTTGTTGACATAATTCTTGTATCCAAGGAAACAAATATCCAGAAAACATGGACACATCTATCAGTGGAGTCTACCTCACTTTCCCTTGATTCACAGTGTTAATGGAAAACAACTGAGTGCATCATGAAAGATGGGTGTACTGTTTGTACTGATGAGTATGACCAGCATGGGAATGAGGCTGTGGAAGAAGAAGATGGAGCACGACTTTCCTCCAGCAGATGCAGGATGTGAAACGGACCGCCACAGTGAATCTCCTATTGTGCGTACATCAACACAAGTCAAGCACCGGCCTTATCCTAACATGGTTTCCATCCAAATCCCGGCCGGATGAGAGGAAAATAAAATCGATTCATACTAAAACGAGCCACAGGTATAGCCCTGAAACCTCACGTTAATCAATCCAAACCACGACATCACCTCAGAGGTTTTATTCAGCTACAACACCGAGATAATTTGTGACTTATCACAAGATAGAGATGTACACACAGTAGGGGCTGCATGACTTAATTTTTTTAAAGTCGACCGTCAAGTCATGAAAATCGAGTCGACTTTGCCTAGTCGTTGATGACGTCATACACAGGAAGCGGCTAAAACTGACGATGGGTGACCAAGCATTTTTTTCCGACGGGAGGGGGGGGACGGGGGGGGGGGGGGGGGGGACTAGTGGCCGCAATTTTAACTGTCAAAAACTCCAGCAAACCAACCCCCCACCCCCCCACCCCCCCGATGTGTATGACGTCATCAACGACAAATCGAAGTAGATTCGATTTTCATTGCTTGACGGTCGGCTTTAAAAAAAATTGTCATGCAGCCCCTACTACAGAGCAGTGATGTCGACTAGTTCATACAACCCCTAGTACACAGTTATCCAGTTAAGGTCATAACTGGTTACCCAGATAACGGTCAATTCCTGTTCACGTCATTTACCTGAGCTTGTGTGTTTTAAGGCTCGTTGAGTCAGCATTGACAAGAGTAAAGAACAGCAGGACAGTTTCCATGAGCGTTGACGAGTTGGGTCAAGAGCAGACAGTTCCCTCTCACTCACGCTTCAGCTACACGACACCGACATGCCGCTAAGCACATCAGGAAACACGAAGTAAATTCAACTGCTTCAACAGTGCTACTAGAGGGCATGAGTGCTATTTACTCCAAAAAACCAAAGAAGAAGAGGAGAGCTCATCACGGAAAAAATTGCACATTTACAAAGATGAAGCAGTCGAGAAAGAGCACCGCATGGGAGCCTTTTCCTCTTGGGAGTTACCAGAACGAGCCTCACATCTGAGCACTGGCTTCCAGTTAACCGGTTATTAGCCATTAAGAGCGTCAGTAACCGTTCCCTATCACAGGAACAGCAGATTTTCTGCGGGTGGCGTCTTATTTCCTGACTATTTCTTTTCCTCATTTTCACTGTCTCCTGCTCGTTTCCCCTTTCCTCCTGTAATTGTTTTTGTGTCCAAGGTGTGGAGGCTGCTAACAGCAGCAGATTCTGTCAACAGAGTGCTCCTGTGTGTGTCTTGTTGAGCCAACAGACTTTCAGTCAGCTGACTAAAATGGTGGCGCCCGCGGAGAAGGGATCCCTTGCTAACGTCTGAACGGCTGTTTCATCACTTTTTATGAGGAGATCTGAAGCTTCACATGACACATTGAAGACGATTCACCCAGAGACGCTGTTTTTGAATGATGACGCAACTCCTCTTTGTCCTTGTTGGTGTTTTGAATCATTCACATTTATTTGTGGACCTGCAGATTCAGCTCACAGCTGTTTGAAGTTTCACTGAAAACATTAAAGGGATAGTCCACCCAAAGTCCCATTGTGTCAGTTGCCAAATTCCCCAGAGTTTTAGATAAGTAGGAAAAAAAACTATTTGCAACCAGCCCAGTCATTCCCTGATCCGACAGCACTCTTTTAGCTTTAGCTTAGCATAAAATGCAGTAAGTGAATGGTACCAACTAGCCTTGAGTGTGGAGAAGAGTGATTTTAATCGTGCTTGGTGACTTCCATCATACTGACTGCAAGTGAAAACGATAACACAAAGGAACCATAGGCGCCTTTTTAGACTTGGGACTACTTTATGGCAAAGAACAGCTGTGAGCTTCCGCTGAAAGGTGCAGGGATACATGCAGTAGCCCCAAAGACACCTGCTTCCATTAACACAAATGCACACATTAGCAAACTGCCATAAAACACACACACAGGTGGTAACCTACCTTATAGTTCCTGCAGGTGGGGTTGAAGGCGTTCGTGCCGCAGGCGAACAGAGTCTCGTCGTTGCGCGGTACCAGAACTTTGATGTAGTTGTAACACTCGTCCTGTCAGGAGTAAAACAGCTCAGCGTCTGAAATCACGTTTAGTTTCATTCTCACACAAATTCTGGTACGTTTACTGTAAAACCAACTTTTTGAGGCCTTTTTTGCTTATTGCAAAACTTCCCTGTGCAGAAGCAGTGCAGAGGAAATAAAAGCAAGAGCACCAGCAGAGATGAAGATATTTGTGTCTGGATAATGATACTCACGCTGTTTTTGCCCCTCACGGTGCACTTCTCCACATCCTTCGTTTTCCACGTCAGTTTCTGAAAAATGACACGACAGCCAGCTGTCAGCTGAAAGATGCAACTGCTCTCTCACCATCTCAGCTTCTGTTGCTCCCAGTCATTCAAGTGCTTTTACGAGGCGGCTGTGATGAAAACCTCATTAATTTCAATAAAACTGCAGCAGAGGAAAACAAACAGGGACGTATTAGAGGCTCCCGCGGCGCTGGAGCGGCTCATCAGTGGGCAGCCAAACACGGTGGCTCCTCAGAGATAAAATCACCCTGAGATAAGAGGGGGGGACAAAGGACCACAAACACACTCGGATAACTTTGCTACCTTTATGAAGAGGAGTCAATTAGCCCCAGTTAACCTGCTGGCTGAAAACCCAGCCCGTCCTTGTGTTTCACAATAAAAGCCCACAGAACACAGAAAATGTGCAGCCCGAGCGGTAAACGTCGGAGCCATTTAAATCCCTTTTTGTCAACATGCAGCAAAAGCCTAAAGATAACTGTGTCTCCGTGACACGATGGGATGTCCTGCGTCCATGCTCCAGCAGGAACATCAAACCTGGTCGACTTTCTAAACATTCCTTCAGATGAGTCCACTTTTTTTACTGCAATAATCTCAAATGCACGTCTTTAATTACTCGCTGCATTTTCACGTTAGTAATGACTTGCTTTGGTCTGCCTGTGTCAATGAAACGGCGTTCCTTCTCTAGGAATATTTTACATTTTAATTGTGTGCTTCTTTATGAAATACACGAAGCTTATTTTAAACAAAAAGAAAAATCCACCTCAAACGTCTATAAGCGGTGTTTTAGATGCTGCAGGTTACTGCAGATAACATGTTTAACAGCAAAATCCCTGAAAAAAACATTCCGATTCCTCACCGGAGCTCGCTGAAACTCAGTTTATCCCACAGCACCTTTATTCTGTTTTTCTCAGGGACGGTTTCCAATTTTGTCTAATAGTTTTCAGGCCGGCAGTCAGGAGCAGAAACAAACAAGAGCTTTCCCAGACAAGGTTGGATAATAGATCCTGGATCAGGATGTGCTTCCAGAAAAATGTTAATGAGGTCTCCACCCCCCAGCAGCTCCCGAGAAGAGTCGCAATAAAACCCAAATTATTTTTTAACAAAGTCGTTCTAATCTGTGGGACGTGTTTAGGTGGAGATCTCCTGTCTGTGGTTAACCGATCATGAGTCAGGAAACCAGGCCAGGAGAGGCGAGCGGACGTGAATCAAACCCTGGTGTGTAGATGAAGAGGAGCTACATGATGGGATGGATCTGTGATGAGGACAACTTTTTCTGCTCAGAGTCAGTCACACACTAATGATCCTGCTTCAGAGGGAAAACAGGGGAAGGAGCACGAGAAGCTAAATATGGGAGCCATCTTTATAATTTTCCACACAGCTGCTGCTGAGAGGTTTGAGTGAAACGATGAAAAAAAATGACACGTTCAAACGTTCATTATTTAGGTTCTCGTTTAACAACCCGAGTCTTTTTTCTTTGAATCAGCAGATCAGATCTGCTCCACGTGGAGTGCTAGCCTCATCAGAACGAACATTGGTGTTTGGAAGCGAATCTGAACACAAGTAAACAAAAGTCCAGACCTTTGAGGGCTTTTATTTAAGTGCTATCGTGTTCTACAAATGGCATTCAGATACCAGAGAGCACAGCACTTCAAAAGCATCAAGAGCAGTGCTCCGCTAGTGGAGGACTTATGAGGATACATTAGTTATTAGTTGACTGAAAAAGGGAGGAAAAATAATTAGATAAAAAACATTTAAGAGATGAGTTTCAGTAAAAGCACAAAGCTAATCAGACAAAAGAAGACAGAAACAGCAAAGTCTATTATTATAAATGGTATAAATCCACATCCTGGTTTTATTGCATATTTATTGGCTACAGAAAGCTGAACTTTCAAAGCTAAGAATAGCCACGTTAGGCTGCTAATGCACATTATTAGTATTGATTCAGAAAGGTCAAACAATCAAACACTCTCAAAATGTCATGAATGAAATCTCGTCAAGGAGACGGAGCTTTAAACGACAGAAAGCAACGAAACAATGATTTGGATCAGCTGCAGGTTTGATTGTTGAGCATAAACATACCTGCTGTGGGATTATCTGCTCAGATGTTGAAGCCAGATTGATCGCAAACACATGGTCCCTGCAAAAGAGTAAAGACACTCATAGGCTCGTGTCCACATGCTTTTTGAATGCAAACATCAGAACCTCAACTTTTCCCCCTTAAAAGACATAAAAAGGAATAACAGCTCAGATTTGGTTCAGAGATCGACTACAGCTGTTAGAAATAATCAGCATTATGCCCCTCCGTACCGGTTTCCTCTTTTTCATACAACTATCACAAGTAAGTGTTGGACTGGACTCTACTTCAGGAACTAAAAAGCCAAATATTTACGTGTGTTTTTATGATCAAGCAGGTCTTGGTAAAGTTGGAAAAAAAACACCTTAATCTGCAGAAACGACTGTTTATTCATCTGGACACTATGACAACCATCCAGACAAGCTAAAAGGAGCTTTTGTTGGGCTGTGATGACTGACCGGGCAGCAATGTAAAGCATGTGGTTGATCCTCAGCATCCTCTGGAAGTCCAGGCCCAGGCGGAGTGTGTCATTGTCTGACAAGAGCCCCTGGAAGCTGGGGTAGAGGTACGAAGCTGCGTCGGTCAGAAGATGGAGTCAAAAAGAAAACAAAGTAAAACTCAAAAGAGGATCATGAAGAACAAATACCACTTCTATTTAAAGCTTGATAAAAGCCGTATTACGCAACTTTTTCACATTTTAAAACAATTTTCTTGAGCCAGTATGTGCTAAAATAACTCTCTTCAGGGTTAATGAAATGTCACTCAGACCTCACCACCCTCTGCGGTCAGATTACCGCACTAGCAGCTTCAGTTGCCAGTCCGATCCTTGTTGGACTTAGTAAAGTAGCGCTGACATGTCAGTGTGGAAGTCTGCTTCCACCACGTTTTCTGCATGTTTTAGATCGTGAACACAGCTGTTGTTAAATTTATTGATGAATCGATCATGTAGAAACTAAGGAAGGCTAAGGAGACAAATCAGAAGTTAGATTAAGGTGTTAAAAAGATGAACGCACAGCTAGGAGGAGTTTTACTTTTGTTTTTACTAACGGACACTAGGGGGTGCTAAAAGCAAGCCAAAACTGCTTAGTATCCCTTTAACTCATTTTTTTCTTTATTCTTATATCTCACAGCTCCTACAAGTCTCAGATCCTCTGCTTCCATCAACTTAAATAATCCACCAGCATGTCTTGTCACGATGGGATGCCGAGCGTTTAGCAGATCGGCACCCCCCCGTGGCACTCATTACCTGCTCACCTTAGGAACATGACTACCCTTCAAACATTTCGGGCTAATCTCAAATCTCATCTGGTCAAAATTGCTTATTCGCTGTAATTGTTATTAGTGTTTTATCTGATGTTTTATTTGGGTTTTAAATTTTCTAGTCATTGAATGTTTTAAAGAGACAATGTGTAGTTTTTTACCATTAATCTCTGGAAATATCTATCGAAATCTTGTAAAAACGTACTAAATGATGCCCAGTTGTTGAAAAACATTGGCGGCTTCATAACATACAAATATCAGGTATAAAAGCCTCTGGGAGACGCCATATTAGACACCATGTTTCCTTCTACGGGAGCCTGTGAGGACAAAATGCATTTACTGATTTGCAACAAATGGTTGCAAAACGTTCACCATTCATACACGTTTCTGTTTTACACATTTATTCTTCATTCGTTATCAGTGATGAAAGGAAGTCTGATGCGCTTGACATTTTGCTGAAGTTTGCACTCCCCATGGCTTTTTGACCCTAATGAGCATACATTGGTAAGGTCTTACTCCAGTACAAAAATACTGCTTGCTTGCAACGACTTAGGTTTCTACTACCTCCTATCGACAGAAAAAAAAACACACTGTCACTTTAATTTTCTTTTTTTAATTAATTAATAAATTAATGTATTTTTAAACCCGATTATACGGTGACTTTGAGTTTCTCCAAAGGCGCTGCAAATGAAATGTATTATTATTATTATTATTTTATATTTTTTTCACTACATCTGCTGTGGTCTCTGTAAAAATCTATTCCTTGTGAGTTATTTCTTATTGGGGAAAATACCTCTGGCTCTCCTGTTTAAGGAAGTGAAAGAGGTGAGGATGCTAAGGAGAGGTGAGCTGAACAAGGCAGGATTTAGAGTCATTATTGTTCATGATGTTCGGACATCTCTCCTCTGATTGGCTAACAGCAACACAACTCTACCACTGACTCCATTTGCTTTGTAACATTGATGTTTTATCTCCACAAATAACACGAGCCAGAGAAGTTCTGCCATGTTGTGTAGTTGCTGACTGTTAAGCTTCTACTAGAAGAGATGCTCTGCTCTCTCCTGGATGCTAAATCAACAACAGCCTTTCCCGTCACGAGCCAAGATGATTGAGTCCACGAATGTTAATTTACAGTGTGTCGTAGAACAGTGGCTTTTCTGGACGAGCGTTTCCCGGTCTATTTATCAGCGGCTAATGAAGGAAATAGGGGTATAAGAATCTTTTCACGTTTAGACTACATGTTAAACTCAGAGTGACCAAATAAACGGTTTCTCAGTGAACTTGCTCTTTAAAAATGTGTTTTGACACAAGAGGGAAAAACAAAGTTGAACTTTAACTTCTACCTGAGAGATTAAAGCCAAAAACATAAGTCACATTGCTGTTTTGCAAACTAAGGTTTGTCTGTTTGACATTCAGACAGTCGAACAACAACAATGACTAAGCATGCATCCATAGCATCATTTGCAATTTGAAAATGACAACCCAAAGGTTACAATCTAAGATCTTGTGCTCACAATCCAGAGCTAATACCGTATGCTAATGTGCACTTGTGGAGGTGGAGGAGCGGCGAATAATAATAAAAAAAGGCTTCCCAAGTTGCAAATTAGGCAGCCGTGCCACCGGAGTCAATCTGATTTAAATAAATGGCTCCCGGTAAGCATTTCTGCACAGACGTGTCTGGGGACTGAGCCAAGTAGGAACAAGAAAACAAAATAAAATATTTCAATAGAGAGCCTCTCCGTCTGAATCAGCCCGCATTTAAATAGCAATCATCTGTTCCAGAGGTTCCTCAAGTTCACCTCAGAATTGATATTTAAGTACCTTCACCTTGTAAAAGATCATCTAAAATCCTCAAACACTAACAGAAGAAAGCGAGCCATTTAAGAGCAACCAAGCGTTCGCCGGTGCTGCGGCACCAAAAGATGCATAAGATGAAACTGGTCAGGTGGAGTCAGCAGGAAGAGATAAATATCAGCTCCATGTTCCACTAAATAGAACTAACAGTTCTTTCGTCTTCCTCTAGTTACGGTAAGGTAAAGTTCTCTCTTTCTACTTTTCAAACATCAGATCAACTTACAGGGTGGAAATTTTCATGTCCAGAACTATAGGACTAAATGACTCCCATCACCAGGCCGGCACTCTTCCTAAAACCAAAACGTAATGATCTCAGAGACTTTCTGCTGCTCTTGAATGGATTTTAAACCAACACACTGAACTCAAATAAACTGTATTCCCACTGGAAACATGCCACAATCCCAAAATAAGCCTCTTTACTGAGTCCTCCTTAAACACTTGTGTCAAATCAGTTCAGTGATATGAAAGCACGATGACCTCATCCTGGCATCCACTTCCTGAAGATTTCAATATCATGTTTTGGAAGAAAACATCAGAAAATGAAGCTTTTTTGAAAGATGAACAAAAAAAAAAAAAGGATCGAGGACGTTTCCTTGTGTATTTACTGTAGAGGTAAAAATCACCATCTCACTTGGTTTGTTGTACAGGAAGCCCCAGAAAGGACTTTGGACCAGCATCAATCATCCTCATCATCTCCTTGGCTTGTGGATGTTGGTTATTTTATAAGCCCTCTAACCCTGCTTTCTTCTTTTTATAGCTTTTCTGGATTCTCCCACAAGTTCCTTCAGTCTAGCTTATTCTGCTGTTTTCTGCCCTGCTGCGGTGAGGTAATGTGTATTTCTGCACCTCCTATAAACTGTAAAACTCACTGACGGGTTTCTGAAACTGCCCTCTCCGAGTTTATCTCCTTTTTCACCTAGATCATGAAGGAAAATGTACACCAAACCAGCCCATCGCATATGTGCTAACTAATGAACTGACTCTTCACAAGAGGTAAACTATGAAACCATGACAACCGAGCCATGGAAGACGTGCAACCTCTCTCTGCAAATGCAAAGCAGATTACCTGGACCATCATGTCTCCTCCTAACTCACACAGGAGAACAATATAACATTGTCTTCTACTACACAGATTTTATAAAACCACGAGACAAAAACTGCATGCAGACATGTTGGTGACGATAAACAAACGCAGCCAATTAAAGCATTGGAATAACGTCACCCTCCTGACCTTTGAGAATGTGTCCACCTTCCTGTCCCGACACTAACCCACCATAAAGAAATGCTCGATGCTAACATATGTTTAGTTTATTTTCTACAAAGAGGAGTCATTTAGATCTCAGTTCTCACAAAGTACTACAATTTATAATGGATGTCATAAAGTTGCAGGAGACCTTGTGCCACGCCGTCACCTGCAAGAGTCAGAGGTGACAAATTGCTCTCATTACACCTGGGACGGAGCTCCATAAATAGGACTATTAGCGCGGCTATTTCTGCTAATGCGTACCTCTCCTACAGATAGATCAATTACCGCATGTGGGACATCATCTCGGCCACCTCTTAAATCAGTTATGGGCCATAATGGTAAGCAGCCATGGTCTCTTCTGTAGCCCTCTAATGATGGGATGCCCATGATGGGCCTTTGGGTTTTCTGATAAAACAGGAAGTGAGTCCAAAACATGATATCGAGTTTTCATTTCATCAACGTGCTTAGTTTTACTTTCCATTAGTTTTTTTTTTATAACGGTTGCTGGACGGGTTGGACACAGTGGAATATTTTCCAAAGGAAGCATAATAAATATGAATGACCTGACGGCGGCCATTTTTCCTGTTCTCCAATTTAAATCAGTTTAGAGTTTTTCGTGGCACTTTGCAGAGAGCTTGATTCATGCATGTTGGAAATGTAGCCACAGTTTTCTACAATTTGACATGTCGCAGAGAAGGATATTTTATAAATTCATATTGCAAAAGAAGAACGTAAACCGCAACAGTAATATGTGTACGGATTTCACAAGAAATGTGGTTTTATTTGTCTAAGTGCAAAACTTAGTTAATAGGATGTAGTTTCCTCCAGGTTACCGTTACACTGATCAGTGAGGAATCTAACCCAACTCAGCTCATGAACTGCAACATAAGGTGGAAACTGAAAAGTCAGTGTTTGCATGGCCAAAGTATCAAAGTTTTGATGGTTTGATACTATAGCAGTAGAGTTGTGTGGCTTGTCCAAAAATCTGCATTCCATTTATCCCATTGGCTTAAAAACATCAAATTTGTTTCCTTACGGTGGAATAAAATCAAAATTAATTTAGATTTTTTATCAGATATTTTTTAGTAATTTCTTACTGAACTATGTAACCACACAATTTCACCATGCTAAAACATAGGCCTAAAAATTAGCTACCTTATGTTAACGCGTGCTAGTCATGCTAATGTCTTGCCTCAGCTGTAATTAATCACGATGTTTATCACCAGTTCACAGTTAAATTATGTTAACTGTAAATTTAATAATAATGACCGGGTAAACACACCTATGACGTTAGCATTTTGAGCATTATTGGCTTATAAATAAACACTAAGGTGAATAGGCTTAGAATGTGTCACATCTAAAATGGTCCATGTGGAAACAGTTCCCAGTTTTTTCCACAATTAGACAAAAGGTGACGATTCCAAAATCTCTGCTTCAGCAGATAGCCATCAATTTCCAATCCTTCCCTGATTTTTAATCACCACTTTGCCATTCTCTTATAGTCAAAATAACAATATACTAATTCCTGTGAGCTGAAGTGAAAAAATTAGCATGCTTCTTTATTTGTTTGAGTTTTGACATATTTTCTAAGGGTTTGGCTCAAACGTGTCACATAAAAAAATGATGTAGTTGTTCTCCCAAATCACAGAATAAATAGGTGAATGTCCCCACTGTGGGATCAATAAGTCTATTCTATTCTATAAACGCAGATACATGTGTAACTTCTAGATACTTGTTATTCCAATGACTGTAGAAATAATGGACCAACCCTCTGCACTGTAACTTGTAGGTTTCTGAAAAGCAGAATTGAAGCCTGTTGGGCGGCTCCCACCAACACATGCCTCGTCACACTCAGAAAATACCAAAATGGAGCTGACAGCAGGGCTGTGACCAACCAAGGTTGGCGGACAGTTTTAGCTGCGGCTTAGCAACTCTACCCTCTTCCTTCTAGTCTTTAACACTTTTTGTGAGGTCGAGGCTGAGGCTTTCCCTGGAGTAAGCAGAGGGGCTAACTGCTAGCGCTAGCACCGACAGCTCCTCTGCCAATAAAAAGTACACGCCCCTAATAATTCACAGTTTTAAGCTTTAATTACATTTAAACATAAGAGCTACAAAAGAATTCACCCTCCTTAGAGTTGTCTTGATCTATTAAACCTAAAATAGTTTTTGGAAACGACTGTAAACACGTTTATTTCTCCTGTTAGGTTGACATTTTAACATAGGAGTCAATAGAAACTCGCTTCAAACTAGATTCGACCCCTAGCGAAAAAGGAGGGCTCTGCAGGCAGACGCTCCCCTTTGGGTTACTCTTCTCTTATGTAGCCTTTTCATTTCAACATATTTTTGGGTTATGATGCATTTTAACCAAGAAAGGACAAATAAAACTCCAGTAACATCGATTCCAGCACTGAATAAAACTCTTTAAGCACATCCTGCTCACAAAGACCCTGCTAATCACATATAAAACATCTGTGACCCGTGCCTTGTTTCACATGTGCTACTGCAACACTAATCACTATGGCAACACAACTCATTCTGAACTCACATTCCTTTCCCACAATGCTGATTGGTTCCAGGTCTTGGGGAAACGGTGCAGCTCCTGAGGACAGCTGGGGTAAAAAGGCGACTAAGGTGAGAGCCAGGACGGCTGGCAGGATGGGTGGAGGAGGCGGTCCGCCCATCAGCCTCATTTTGGCAGAAGGTGGGACTTCACCAGAAACACATGGTCCACAGCCGACACCCTCCAGTCCACCTAAAACAAAACACAAGGTGAGCACAGTTAGAGGAGTTCACACATAGCTATGAGATAATAAAGTAGATTATATCTGATAAACACATGCTGCTTTTAATTATTTACTGATTTTAACAACAACAGGCGTTTAACGGACAACTTCATAGCAGGTCCTTTTAGAAATCACTGCCTCAAGTCAGAGCAAAGAGGTGAGCGAGTGTCTCCTGAAGCTCCGTGATGAGAGCTGATATTTAAACAGGAGGTGGACTGAGTCAGAGGACGTCTCAGACAGGAGGGAAAGAGCCACGACCAGGACACCTGCAACATTTAACAAGGTCTCAGCCAACACTGCAGAATTATCACATCCATCCATATAGATGGCATTTATCTGAATATTATTTGACCTTTTTTCTTCTTTTTTATAAGATTTTTTTTTACTTAATAAAAATTGTTTTTAAAGGCTTGTGACTTAAAGCAGAACAGGCGATCAAAAACGGTTACTCTACATGTAGAAGTGTAGAAAAAGATCAATGTGATTTTCTCACAGCTGGACATCAACTCAGTACAAAAAACACAACAACAAGCATGTTAATATCACAAATGTATTTAAAAGTAGCCTCGTAGCCACATTTCAAATTGTTCACTATGTGCGTTGTTACGACAGAGCAGGTATAAGGCACCATGATCGGCAAGGTCACTTTTCTGTGCACAACACCTGTAGCTATCGCAGAAGCAGTGAAACAACATTTCGCCGTCCATTAACCAGTTCTTTAAACAGATCATTCAGCATCAGCTGGCTCTGTGTTGTTGTCCGAGTTGCTGCAGTGAACTAAAAATTTTAGTGGTGAACTAGGACCAATACCACTCGCTTTGCTGTCTGGTTTAAAATACATCCAAACTTTAGACATTTTCGCCCACTACATTAGCCCACTAGCTAACAGCTACATGTTAGTAAGTCAACATGATTCCTTGCCATAAATTGTGTGATGTGTTGTTTTTATCCAAGAAACTGACAAAATTGAAGGGGAAGTTGTTGAAATTAAAACTAAACCATTTATATTCTGTATGAAAATGTATCTCAGGATGAATAAAAAAAAGTCACATTTGCGTGTACAATAAACAAAGGAAGAACAATTCAACAATAGAAAAGAAAAAACAAACCAATAAGAAGAACCAAGAATACAAAAAGACTAGAACTAAAACCAGTAATAACCCTTCCATATATCACAGGCATAATGGAAATAATAAGAATGATGAAAAATTTAACAACACACCAATCAAACCACATGACAGTCAGAAAAAGACTGGCACACCCAAAAGACAAGATGTCAGCAGATAAAAAGCGGAGACATATACAGAATACCATGCAAACTCTGCAATAAAACATACATACAACTCAACACATGAAAAACAGAACATCAAAGAGAGTGAGAAGGAAATAAGTCAGACACTTATGTGCAGCAAAACAAGAAGCAGAAAATACTATAAAGAAATCAGCTATACAGAAGCATACAAAAGATGGACCAAAGAAGCCATTAGACATTGGATCATGCATTGGACAGTGTCATCAGCAAAGGGGGAGGGTGTCGCCTTCTGCTGCCTGCGGATTAACGGAAGTGACGCCACCAACACCGGCGAGCTCTGATGATGCCCAGGGTCGCTAGCCGAAACATGTCAGCTTCAAGGTAAACAACTAGAACAAAAGAAAGTAATGGACGAATCACAACTGCTGATTTCAAGTCAACTTATAAGAAATAAACCAGTCTAGTGGAAAGACCAGGCTCAGAAGAGCTCTATTGCAGCACCAGAACCATATCAGAACTGACGTTCATCTTCACCTCATCCAGATGTGACCTGAATCCTGAAATTTGGCACAAACTGGTTTCATTTGAACAAAGCATGGAGGACAGCACAAAACAAAGGATCTGAAGAGAGTTTATTGAGTCATTCCCAAAGGAATCCAGAGATTAGTGATGCCCAATAAAACAGGGAAAAAAGAGCCTGGAAGCCAGAAGATCCTTCTTTTATTGTGTGCTTCAATCAAATATTGAAGGCAATATTTGTGGTTCCTCTGAGGAACTTTGCCAACAGAAAGGTCAAATAAAACATTACAGTGTTGTTTTGCTTTCAAAGAAACACATAAAAATCTAAAAATATGTTGCCATCAGATAGAAGACGGACTCGATGATCCAACTTAAAGCTGCAAGAAGATCGCCGATGTCTTCTTTTCTGAGTTTTCCCCAAAAGTTTTTCTACCATGCTGCTTTAAATGGGATTTGTGCCACATGATTATAAGCTGGCAGGAGCAAAAAATAAGTCAACAGGAATAAACATAATCATACATTTTCTGAATAGTCAGATTTGCTTTAATGCAGGGAAGTGAGAGTGGCGTTTTGCAACGAGGTCAAGCAATCATCACAACTCCATAAACTAATAAAGACGGGCAGGAGTCTGGCTGTGTTTACTTTATGAGTTCTACCCGTTTGTGTGGCCTGCCTTGGGCTTATCAGGACAATATATGTGATAGATGAGCTTAATACGCAGCAGCTGGGAGGTTCCTCTAGCCAGGAAGGGTGGCCATTTGCACACTAAGTTGGTTATAGTTGTCTTTCTGAACAGGGTCAATCAAAAAGAATTAAAAAAAAGTGCATTCAAATATCAAAATGGAGAACTTTGATCCTGTGCATTAAACAGATGTTTAATACAATTTAAGATGTAAAACAAACCCAGACTGACTAACTTACATCTGTTGTGAAAGTGCACAAACAGTCAGCCATAAGCACAGTGGTGGCGCCAGGGGGCGCTATAGCTACCCCTGGATTAGTCATTGCACCCCCATAGCACCCCCAAGTAATTAGATTTATTTAGTTTTTTTACAATTTAATTTTAATTTCACGTGTGGATGTGATAATATTTAACATACAAAACAAAAATGAGTAAATTATCATATCGATAGTAAAAACTTAAACCAAAACGGGAAATTGATGTTAACCTTTAACCTCATTTTCCACCTGCGAACGAGTGAAAGGTAGAGCTAGTGGTAAAATGGATCGGTTTTTGTTGCCCACATTTCCACGGGTTCAGTCAGAACGAATGAATCTTTGGAAGTGATCTCAGACCCACAAAAACCTACAGATCTGGATGAAGAGAGTCAACCCTCAACCGCCGCAGCAGTCGAGGGTTTTGCCGCTGGAAATGCTAACACTAACGTTAGCTAACCTTGCAACACTATAGATGGTTTTCTGTGTGGCTGTATGTGTTTATGATTTCATGGAAAAGTCAGCGATTGTTCATATGCTTATGATGTATTTTAATGATTGTTTCAGGTGTTGTTGAGGTTTTGTGCATGCATGTGTATCTGCTAGTGTTGAAGGTGTTTTAGAGAACAATAGGTACGCATGACCACTTCCTTCATAGCACCCTCAATAAAAAGACTAGCTCCTTCATAGCACCAGCAGAAAAAAAATTCTGGAGCCGCCACTGCATAAGCAGCACAGAGAGCAAGCAGAAATCATTCTGGAATCATTGGCAATCCACTTAGCTGAAGGAAGGCAGCCAGCGGAGTGATGATGATGCATGCAAAACACCACAATGCTAGTGAGTACAAGCACTTACACGACACGCCAAGACACTCAGACCATGCAGCCTGTTCAGGACTTTCTCCGATGGTTCTGGACAGCTTTTGGACTTCAAACTTCTAGGAACGACATGATGACCAGATCAAGAGGGAAGTTCATATAGTAGAAATAACACCTTATGATAGGAACTAGGGCTGGGCGATATGGACCAAAACTTATATCTTGATTTCTTTTAGCCGATATACAATGTTTATCTCAATTTATTTTAGGGCTGCAGCTATCGAATATTTTTGTAATCGAGTACTCTATCGAATTATTTTATCGATTAATCGAGTACTCTAATAAATTACCCTTTTGCGTGTGTAAACCATTATATCAAATAGCATGTTATAAAATATGAAAGACCTCTTAAAATGAACATGCAATTGCCAGTTATTCTTCAAGTTTTATTCAAAATTAGTTTTCAAAACTTCAGCACTTCAACTTTACTTCACAGTAAACAAATGCGAGCGGCTGCGGCCCAAACAGCACCAGAACCGCTCACGGCGCATACGCAAACATGGCTCGCCAGCTGTTTCCCTATTAACACACGTCCATTTTAATTTCTACACTTTTTTTCTCACACAATAACAAGGATTGTCGAGAAAGCATGTTTGCCGTGGTTATGTGAAATTATACTGATCACAAAACATTTATTTACTCTTTCGTTTTCCTCCGCCACTCTCATAAATACCTGTGTCCTCCTGCAGCAATCCTGAGGGACAACGGACATCAATGACAACACAGTAAAAAGTTAGACGTGTTGTAAAAACTGCTATTTTTAGCACATTTTAAGACTGACGTGTTACTACCAGACGTACAGTGTGAGCTGAAACTGAGTGCTACAAATGAAAAAGTCGCAGTGTCTGCAGAATATATAGAAATACAGGCTAAAATGCATTATATTGTAGAGGCTCGAGTCCGCTTGCAGAAGTGACATTTACATGTGGATGTTTCCTGGTCAGGTGCTGCAGCATGGAGGATGTGGTGTTGTGGAAGGCTAAATCCATTTTACAGTATTTACACTGGAGTACGTTTTCCGCCTTACGATGTGAAAAATGGTCCCACACCTTTGACATTTTGTCTTTTTCGCACTCCACCGGGGTCCACGTTGTCCGCCATGGCTTAAGAGAAAGTTAAGTTACATTCGCTACTCGCGTGTGCATTCAGTGCTGTGTGTATGTGCGTCACTTATTTCGGTCCGGGTGAAACATGACCACGGGCGATTGCAAAGCCATGAATTAATTAAACATGAATTAAACGAAGCATCGAGGCAGAGAATTTGACTCGAGGATTTTTTGTACTCGAATTATTCGAGGTACTCGAGGAATCGTTTCAGCCCTAATTTATTTTTTCCTCCTGTAAAATATTTACAAGTGAACTCCCTCTGTTGATTCTTGTCAA